GACTTCCACCGCGAGAAGGCCTGGTGGGAATGGACAAGCAAAGCTTCAAATGGTGTCCTTGGGAGTCGAGAGGAAGTGCTTTTGCGAATGAGGCGGATTGCTAAAGCGCCAAACGTGGAGCTGATGGAAGAGGCAATCAAAGATTTTAAAGGCAGTTCCTTGTGGACCGATAACCCACGACTAAGCTCCTGGTTTGAGAAAAAGTGGCTTCCTGCAAGGAAGGTACGATAATCGTAGAAATAGAGAAAAAGGAACGAACTTTGTAACTCTTGTCCGGTTATGGGAGGTAAAAAATTGTAGTGTTTAGTATATTTCCACTTCCCGGAGAAGTCCATGCCCATGCTTATTATATCTGGTTTCCAAATTCATTTAGCGATGGTGTCAAGCGTACAGAGGTGTGGACTATATCGTGGCAGTGCATACGAACAATGGTATCGAGAGACAGAACGAAACCCTGAAATTCCAGTACCTTGATGGCTACCTGAATTGTACACTAGGCGAGATGCTTACTGTCCTGGTGGAGCAGTTTTTTCCCGACTCTTACAGAAAGTAAGTAAAATAACATTCCGTATGCGGCGTTAAGCCTGCAGAACAGGCGGATTTGCGAGGCAGAGCGCGGAACGCTACAGCAACTTTGTTTTGTCGCCGACGCCTTTTTTTAGACGATTACTGTAAAACATGGATGAAGCCAGTTAATGACTAGTAAGAGTTGTTTGAATAAAGCACCTTGCTAATAGAGCCTCACAATCACTGTGTTTTCGCAAAACTTGCAACCTTACCGCTTTTGCAAATCAGTGATTGTCGAAGCATGCTTGATTGGATGAACGATCGAGTAACTAATTGATTGCACGATTGATTGATTGGCCAATGCTACTTTCAGGTACGTCGACCTAAATGTGAGATGCTCTGGAAATTTTGGAAAGTACAGCGACCAAGTGCCTAACTTTCTTCACGATCGCCCAAGGGATGTAGTAAAGTACATCATGAATAATCTAACAGAACCAGATCCTAGATCAGCCAAGAGAGTGAAGCAAGTCGGCGAAGGAGAATTCATGGTGGATGGAAAAATACGAGTACAATTTGGGGATGACGAGAGATTCCCACATTGTGACTGTTCGGAGTGGAGACACTCTCGTCTACCTTGTAGACATTTCTGCCTCATTTTTTCATGTTTACCTGGATGGAGCTGGGATAAACTAAGCTCGCTTTATCGTGAAAGTCCGCTCCTTAATCTTGATGACATCACCTTGACCTCGAGTACGAAAGAAGCATTATCCGATGACTGGGAAGACATGCCAGAGGCAAATATTGCAGAAGAAGGTGAGGAAGACACAGCGCAGCAACAAACATTACCTCTCCCACCCAGAAAAAGGTCGAAGACCAAGCTGTTGCAAATTCACTGTAGAACGATAATGAAAGAACTTACAAGTGCAACCTACCTGATTAACGACGAAAGCTCCCTGACTGAGTTGGCTCAAGGCCTTGATGGTTTGTACGCAAAATCGAAAACCATGATGCCCAGTGAAGATGGAGTACCCATGGAAGACGTCCCCCGCACTGGAATAAACAAGAAACGTGAAAAAAAGTCTAATGACGCAAAGGAACAGGGTGCCAAAGAACAGTCAACTATCATACCTCCGCCATTACAAGCACATGGTGCGAAAAAACATCGAGCGAATGGTCGTTTCGGTGCCAAGGCGGAATGGCGAAGAAAGTTTATTGGGCAGAAGAGGAAGTCCTGTGGCTCAGCTCACTCAAATCAAGGCATGCCGGGCGTGAAAAGACCTTTTCTTGTAACTGAAGGACCAAGA